CTGAGGTGAGGGCGTGTGTGTTCTGAGGTGAGGGCGTGTGTGTTCTGGGCTGAGGGCGTGGCCGTTCTGGGCTGAGGGCGTGGCCGTGCAGCTACCTGGCAGAAGGCGAGGCTGACGCAGCGCCAGCCGCTGAAGACGTAGAACCCGGGGGGGCAGCGCTCCACGCAGCTGCGGGCGTGCTGCAGGTGGCGGCAGGCCACGCAGCGGCCGGCGTCGCCCGGCTCCCAGCAGCCGCCCAGGCACTGCTCATGGCAGCACTGGCCCCGCCCACTGCAGGCGCCATGCTTACACTTGTCCTTACACACTGGGGAAAGAGCAGCAGAAGACAAAGGCTTAATGATCGCATACCTGGTGAGAAAGATTCAGAGCTTTAGCCCCTCTTAGGACCCCAAGCTAGATGTTGAATCAACTGAGGTAGAACTCCATAAAGGACATTAGGGAAACCGTTACCCAGCGGAGGGGGGGAAAAGGGAAGGGGGGGCAAGGGGCCCTGGGGGGGAACCACATGACCCCTCTGCCAAGGAAAACGCAAGGCCCCCCCCCCCCCCCGTTTTTTTCACTGGAAGGCTGCCCATTGTGCTGCCTGAGCAAAAGCTGGGAGACAAACAGGAGAATAGTGAGGCTGATCAATAATGAGAGGGCATGGGGGTTACAGTCCTGGAGGAGGAGGGGGGGGGGTCACAAAGGGAGAGATTAAGGGAAAAACACGCCCCTCCTCTAGAGTGGTTGAAGCCAGGGCTGCCTCACTCCGTTCTCTGTGCTCTGAGCCGTAAGCCCACAACAGCAAACAGCCGTCTCCGACCCACAGGGGGAATGCACGCTCCTGCCCCCCCCCCCCCCCCCCCCCCCGGCCTGCCTCCTCCATGTGTACGTGCAGAGCAGGCAGGGCTCCCGGATCCAGCTCCTGTCCCAGATCCAGGCCGGAGCGCGGCTGCAGCCCCAGATCCACCCTCAGCCTCAGCCAATGTGTGGGCTGGCTGGGGGAGGCAGCCACTCAGCGGCCTCCTCCACGCTGGGGGGGGGGGCCGCCCAGCTTTAACCCTGGCCGTGCTGGGGCAGACAGGGGGCAGACACGGCTAGGAAAGCACAATGCCGGGAGCCGAGTCCAGGAGGACCCGGCCAGCTTAATAAGGACAGAAGGGGAAAGGCTGCTGCCACACGCCCAAACCTCAGCTCACCGCCCAGCCAAACACGCTCCAGTCAGCCTACTCATTCATTCACCCCCCCCCCCCCCTCCTCCCCCTCCACAGCCAGCCTCACCCAGCCCTGCACCACTATCTATCCTCTATCTGCCAGCCTGCCGCCCTTTCTAGGCCACTCTGCTCCTCCCACTTTCATTCATACAACACCTTGTTTTGTTTTCATGAGGCTGGGTTTCTTTTCTCTCTCTCTGTCTCTCTCTCTATCTCTCTTTCTCTCTCTCTCTCTCTCTCTCTTTCTCCTTCTGGTGGAGAGGGGGAGGGGGTACGTTTCACTGGCTCTTCAACAACAAGAGGAGGGGGTCGGAGCATCCTGGAGAGGTTATCTCTCATTTAGCTAAACACACACACATGGAGGTGTCACCGAATTCTTTCCTGGCCACCCCCCCAACACACACACACACACACACAGACACACACACACACACACACACACACACACACACACAGAGACACACACACACAGACACACACAGAGTTCCAGTAAAGGCTTTAAATGCACAGGCTGATCAAAGGTGTGCCGTGTTTACCTTTCATATGACCACAGCGGGCTGCACGCTCCCCAGGGAGGGACCCGGAGAAGCCCGGCAGCCAATGGCGTGCAGCCACACACGGCAACCAGTCCTGCTCTCAACACATAAAACCTCCCCTTTAATTGGCAGGTTTGTCTACAGGCAAAAGTGCTGGTAACAATAACAAACAGGTTTTCTCCCCGGAGCCTTTCCTCAGAGGACACATGCACCGACACGCTCAGCGGCTGCCTCACCTTTACTATATTTGGCCACAGTGGGAGTCCTAAGCTTCAAAAGCTTTGCTATAAATGCTCACAGATCTGATGTAAGACATTTGCCCTGAGACAGAACGAGACGGGGGGGGGGGGCAGTGTAAACAAAAACAGCGAGCGGCGGGAGGAGGAGAAAACGTCAGAGAGGAAAAGCGTTGTCAGACTGGTAACCCAGAGGCTGGGAAAGGAGGCCGGGCTTCATTTACACCTCAGACCCACGCCAGGCAGCCCGGGGCTCACTGGGGGTCCACGGTGGGATCACAGCAGCTCAGCTAAGCCAACCAGAGGACACATCCCCCCTCCAAACAACACACATCCTTCCTAGTAGCGAGACATTGTGAGTTCTTGAGCTTAACATACTGAGACTACACAGCAGAGCAGCCATCACAGGCTCCATCTTGATAGAGAGCGTCCAGTTTGGACTGTGAGTGGGCGGTCCTGAGAGGGCCTGTGGGGGCGGGGGGGACCCGGGGTTCCTCAGCTGGGGAGGGACAGGCTCAGCCACACTGTGTCCAACATAATCAGCTCAGCCGAGGACAGGAACACGCTGAACCACCGGCCTCTGGCGGGCAGGTCCTCAGAGGACAGCACCTCCACACCCGCTGTGGCCTCAGAGAGTCCAGGCAGTTGCAGGAAGCCTCGGCTGGATATCCAACCCCGCCCACATCCAACTCGGCCAAGTCAGGCTCCAACAGGCTGCAGACAGAGGCTGCTCAGACGGAAAGGTGCACTGCGTCTTTAATGAGTGGAGCCAAGCCCGGGCACAGTGTGCTAACCACGGATAAAGACGCTAAACTAAGCTAACAGCTAAGATCCTGCCCTGGTGTCCCTTACAGAGCGAGGCCTGAAGCCAGATCAGACAACGTTGGGAGGATCCTTCTCCCTGGACACGGCCCATCTCTCAGTAGCCACACAGGAAGCACCTTAATTCTCATCCATGTTCACGAGTTCAAATGAACTTACAGAGCACAAAGCAGCACAATGGGCTAGGGACGTCCCCATCCAGCTTTTTGCACATCCGATCCCGGCCTATCAGAGCATGTGTTAAAGTTTAAAGTTATTTATATACTTACTTAGTTGTCAGACTCATGTTGAACAGGGATTTACTCTGATAACAACTTAATGGTTAGCACACAGACCTGTGGGTACAGATGCTAATGCTAATGGTGGAGTCTGGATCTGTGTTTTCTCCAGCCGGCCGATACGCAGTTTTTTGCGGCGGCCGATCCGATCCAGATATCGGATCGGGACCAGCCTAGAATGGGCTACGTAAGCTGAGACAATCAAGACATGTACACATATTCAAAAGTCACGTCCATGTCACCAAAGCCCGCCGCATTAAGAGGACAGAGCAGGGCAGCCGGCAAGAGAGCGCTCCAATCCTCCGTGTGTATGTGTGTGTCCTATTGGATTAATGACTTAGACTATATTGGGTTACTGATGGCTGGAACTGGTTCAAAACAAGCAGTGGGCTCTATCCATTCATTCAGCTGAGCTACTCCTGTTCGCTGGCCTTTAAACGCAGCTCCTGTCATTAGAAAAGAAGAATGAGGACAGGGATGTTGATTGGGAACAGCTGCTGGGATCTTTTCAGATATGACACACCAATCTCCTGTCAGAAAAACGAGCTCTGCCCCTCCCACATTTCTGCACACCTGCCTCAACACGTCTGCTTGCTCGCTCACATGTGTGCTAGCTCTCTGAGCTAACGCTCTGCGGCAGGACGAGGCCTTATGGAGTCATCCAGAGCTCTGAGGGGACCACAGAGAGGCTGAGGACGTCTGGGTGATGAGCAGGCTTTCCTCGGTGCTCTGCCTCCCTGCTCATTGATTTGCTGTGTGTGTCTTTCTGTGGTGGCCATCCCTGCTGGCCCGTCCTGTTGCCATGGAGACGGGTCCAGACATAGGCTGTCTGCAGTAATTAGCTGCATGCTCCTGACGGGCGTTGTCTTGGCGCCCCTCGTCACGGTCTCATCATGAGGAAGAGCCCCTTTCCTCTCTCCTGACCCTCAGGATTCTGCCCCCCCGCCCCCCAATGATCCGCCAGGTAGAGTCCACCTGCTCCCTGCATCTGTAACCCCCTCTCACCTACAGAAATCCATCCCACTGATGGCTCTCAGAGTCGCACCCTTGTTCTTTCACCCCCATTTCCTGGCCTCCCGCCCTCCCAGTCCCTCAGGAGTAACCTCCCTTTCCTGGAGCATCCCTCCCTCCCTCCCACCGATCCGTC